ATGACTGTGCATTTGCAGCACTTGGGGCATGACATTATGTTGTGAAGTGTTATCTGCCAGCGATATCTGGCAGTAAAAAAGCAAGAAGGGGTGATGTAATAGACCTTATGTCATTTGTACAGATCCACGAAATCCCGTAGAATCCCGCAGACCCGGTAAGGTGTTTTTGTATTTTGTATTTATATCATTATCTCATGGCACATCATGATGACGGCCAGTAAAGCTGAGACAAGGGTGAAAGCCAACCACAGCAGTAAAACAGATAAAAGAATACAAATAAGAGGCAAAGAAGGCAAAGGAGGAGACAAACCAGCAGGATATACATGAAACCTATAATTGAGCAGAGATTTTAGCAACAAAATTATCCATCGACGTGCTGGTCTTGGCCTGCGTTGGTAATGTTGCCCAAAACACATAGCCAGCAAAGATCGAATACGAATAGCAACACTTGAAGAAGGAAAACAAAGTGGCAGGGAAGGAGGAGAAAGGGAAATGTACATAGCTGCCGTTTTATCAACGTTTGGCTGTTCATTGTGTGCTATGCCATGCGCATTTGACCTTTTTAGCATCATAATTCAATGACCAGCAATCGCTTTTCCAGCTTCTTCACTTTGGTTAGAGCTAATGACTAGCTAGATCTTTGTCAGAAAAAAGGTTTTCGTATGAAATGTCTTCAGGCCCCATTTCTCAGTGGAAATAGCAGAAAACACAATAGGGTCCTGCACATTCAACACCCTACCGGGTCTACGGGATTCTACTGGATTTCGTGGATCTGTACAAATGGCATAAGGTCCATTACATCCGACTGATGAGAAAGTAGTTTGTACATGTTCATACATGTACATCATACATGTATGTAGATAAAGAGGATGTTCATGCTTCCACAACTCTGACAGGCATGTTTCACTAGTTTGCGTACGGACGTGTACATTATTGTATTGTCCATTTGCCATGGGTCACGTGGACACACACACAATACACACACACAAGAAACAAACAATCAAACGTGTATATAACAGTCACACTCTCTGACTACACTCACACACACACACACACACACACACACACACACGCACACACCACACACTGCGTAAAACACAGTGATCCTTATCCTGTTTCGTGCTATGGTTTCGTGCTATGGTTGAGGGGGGGGGGGGGGGGGGAGGCGTACAAGTGATCGCGTACAAGTGATCGCGAGCAAGCGATCGCGACCAAGAGATAATCCTCAGCGGATAATGTCGGCAGAAAAATCGGCAGAATTCGGTACATTTTCTTTTTTTGTTTTGTGGATGTCTGAGTACATATACAATCTGTATCGGCTATAGCGTACCCTTTTGATTTCCGTGATTTTATCACTATAACCGATGCATCACTATATGCGATACGATCGATTTTTTATTTTTTTCAATCTACACATGAAAGGCAAGGAAATACAATGTAGAGGGGACGGCTCGATACCGGGACGCATTGACAGCCAAATTTGTATAGACCCAAACCGATCATCAGCGTTGATTTTTCGCTCGAAATATGTTTGTGGAAGGAAACTGGCATGTTGAAGTTTGCTCTGGGGCCAGAGTCAATCGAGCCACTCCTTTGTGTTGACCCATTGCCTCCAAGTTGCCCAATTTTTCGCTTCAAAAAAGTTCAAATCAGAGGTGGCTCCAAACCGGACACGTTTTAGAGTGCACGTCAAATTCACTCTGGGTCTGAAATTAGGTAATTGCTATCGCTCCACGACGGCCAGTACAGAGTAACAATAAGCCTTGTGTGTGCTTCCATTAGTTTTGATTGGTATGCGGTGCTTTATTGGCGAGAGGCGAGCCGCTGTTTACCTGCGACAAGAAGTTGATTTTTCGAAAGTCGTAAAACTCAAGTCGCAGTGCGAAGCAACACGTCAAAAACTCACCTGCTTGATGTGGCGCTTCTGGTCATCGCAGAGCCATGAAATTTTGGCTCGGAGTATAACACATCGTAGTCTCACTGTGACATATGTTTTCTAATCAAAATACCAAGAGAGAAAGTGAATATTGAGTCCGTTCCGGTTTGCAACTTGTGTCCTATTTTGAAAAGCTGGTTGTGTTTCTCAACGCAATTGTATAGCCGGTGGTAACGCGGACGTGCAAACTTTTACTTTACATGTACATGTATCACTATAAAAATAAGCAACGTGAAGAAAGTAAACAAATAGGGCCTTTGATATTATTGCTACATGTGTTTTAAAGTTATCACAATAGCCGATAATAATTATAGTTTGTTATGCATGTTTTGATTCTTTGTTGCCATCATAATATCCGATATATCATTACATCCGATAATATTGGTTATAGTGATATTTAAAAAGGCGACGTGGAGACAATAATCTTAATTAATAATGCAATGAATATAACTAAATGCGCACTCATATCACAACCATGGGGACGAAAAAATTATTCCAGAACGTTTTCTTGTCACAATTATCAATGGAATTCGTGACTAAAGAGAATGATGAAACTACAATAGGATTTATACACTTGGAGTGAAACAGCGAGGATACAAGCATAGTAAGAAAAATAGCACAAACCTAGGAACAATTTGCACAGGTAATAAGCTATAGGTGAGGTGAGAAATGATAGGAAATTCAGCAAGTGCAGTGTGACAATGGACATGCATATGCTTGTATCCTCGCTGTTTCACTCCAAGTGTATAAATCCTATTGTAGTTTCATCATTCTCTTTATTCACGAATTCCATTGATAATTGTGACAAGAAACGTTCTGGAATACATTATTCGTCCCCATGGTTGTGATATGAGTGCGCATTTAGTTATATTCATTGCATTATAGTGATATTTGTACTGGATAAAATACGTTTTGCTTTTGATATTTCGTACCAATATCACTGTAGCCGATATATTCTTATATCCGGTCACTCTATATCCGATACAGACTGTATGTGGATCATGAAATGGAGCAGAATTCAAGAAAGTGCCTGCAATACGGGGGGGGGGGGGGGTGGGGGGGGGGGGGAGGGTACAATGTCAAATCATGGTTCCGAAGTCCAAACGGACCTATTCCTTGCTTCTGATTCTTATCGATGCCCCCCCCCCCCCTCCCACACGCGCAGGTGTATATCGTGGATCTCACGGACACCAGTTCCACATTATAGTCGCTGCGAAGTTAGTTGTGGAGCGCCTTTACAAGTACAGTTTTTAAAGTTCATGTCCTACCACATCCAAATCTAGCGTCCCTTGAAAGTTCACTTTCATGGCTAATAGTCGCATGGTCTCTTGTCCCAAGAGACCTCTGCGCTCTGTGCTTTCTCCACACCATTTTTGAAAGTTATCTTCTCTTTTCTCCCTTTCCATTATGTATATAATATAACCTAACCAGTTGATTATATGGGAAATATAAACCTGTATACAAACCGAGGCGAAGCCGAGGTTTGTATATTGGTTTATATTTCCCATATAATCAACTGAGTAGGTTATATTATGCTTATACTGAGCTGATATACAAACTCCCCTCTCCCCCACAAGGGTAGAGATTGGAATTCCAACCCACAACCATGGCTCGACGAGTCTTCCTTTCACCAACCTGTGCGGATCAAGTATAAGACTACCACTGACTCTGTGCAGTGCATGCAGTGCTAGTGCAGTACCATCACACACTCTTTGTGACTTCAGTTTAGTACTGAAGTACTAGTTACATCGGAAGTAACAGCTATGCGCCAAGTAAGTAAGTTTGAACCTCACAGTGCTAGTGACCGTTACCGCGCGCAGATCTCACCGCGGGCTCTGTAAAAGAACCGTTTGCTCATTAGACTTTAGAGACATAGGGTTCGTCTCCTTTGAATCGACTCCCAAACGTTTCTTCTGAGGACGACCACGAATCACGATGCCATTATTCAAGCAGCAGTTTCTAAGAACACTGGCAGTGCCACGGATTATGGCTGCGCATGTTCCGTCCGCTCTGCGAGGGACGCGGAAAGGAGAACATCGATTGGAAAACCATCAGTAGTGAAGTTCCGTCGCCCCTGCTATCTGCATTCTATGTCCATGCAAAAACGCAGGAGGAGCGGCACGCGGGGCTCTTCAGCCGCACATGTCGAGTGCTGCGCTTGACAGACGGAGTGCTGAAACAGCGAAAGAAGGACAGCCTCGAACGCCAGGTGCAGCACAAGGCACATGTTACAAAGGACGACGTTGTATTCTTCATCGTTGACGGGAAAGAGATCCTGAAGTTGGGACCGTCGTGCATGTCGAAAAACCATCAAGGCGGACTGCAGGTCACTAGTGTAATCCTAAAAAAAAAAAGGAGTTTTTATACCAGTTTATACACCAGTTTATATACCAGTTTATATACCAGTTTATATTCTCGTCATCGAAGTACCTGTTATATGCAAAATACAAGTCTGGAGTGTTGTGTGGGGAGAGATGGGAGTTTGTATACAAGCTCAGTATAACGTAAAATATTTGGCATGATCGTCCGTTTGATGTACTATGTGAAACAGAATATCTACACTGAATCCCTTAGGTTCTTAGTTAGGTGGCAACTACATGTAGATGCAAGTACAGTCTGTTGGGTCCCCAGGCAAAATATCAACACCAAATCAAGAAAATTGCACTCAGAAATTGGGAAATTGTATTGAGAAGGTATGGCATTACATGATGTAGAGAGTCCCATTTTTAGAAGTGAATGTCCACTCGAAAGCTTTACTCAAAGTTCCAAGTTGGATACAGGATCGAACGACCGCACGGCACGAGGCCAACTCTTTTCTCTTCCACAGTATATTTCACTTCATCAAATAATTAACAATTAACACTAATAACACCAGCTATTTATAGCATGCAAAAACAGCGTACATGTATATCAAAACATACACATATAAAACATGACATGACAGCGTATACCAGTGGTACACTGCAAACCGCACACAGCGCATATAGCGTATGCCATGCAGCAAACGTCAGCTGGAGTCGAAATACAACATTGCAACGAATACAATGCCATGAGCGCGAAGGCCTTTCCCACTTGAGAACTGGTGGTTTGCAACACAAACAAACTTCGGATATAAAGAACTAATTCTCCTGCAAAATGGTGGTCGCTACATCAGGAGTCGACTGCATAACATGCTCTATTCTGGTGGAGTTGTTTAACCTGCTTCACTTCAGGAAAAAAGCACTCAGGCCAAAGATAGACTCAGAAGGAGAGCCAATGATTTTATAGTAAAGAAAAGCATCAAAGAAACTACATAATTAATAATTTATAAGGTCAGCTTTGTGCAATGTTATCGCATGAGCTGATTGTCAAGTAACTGGGGTGTTAGTGAACATTATAGCATAACTTTTCTCGCTCCACATGTACTGGCACACACAGAGACATAGACAGCAATAACGACACTACACAAAGTGAAGGGTAGTTGGCCGAAGCCAGATGTGAACCGGATAATGAGTGAGGTATGGAAGCAAGGACTGAGAACAGAGTGTCTCAGATAGAATAGGCCAGTGGATAGCAAAAATAGGCCACGATTCAGAACCACTTGGGACCGTCAGATTAATTTTTCTGAACCGAGCCAGCGGGGAAAAAACCCTCGCGCCGACGGACACAGTTGTGAGGGATAAAAACCGGGTGTATATCCCCAATGGCGATTAGGCATCATGTAGGCATGGTAAGCACATAACGGCAAAAAGTGATAAAAAAGCAATGATAATATGCCCATAAATGAAGTGTGGGAGGGCAGGGACACTGGTAAGACTCAACACTGACAGAAGAAGTCAGGAAAAGAAGCGACAATAAAGAACACACCAGATGCCATATTTGCAACTGAAAATATTTCGCGAGAAATCAGTTCTCGCCTATCTCGCTGCGCTCGGCCAGCGAGAAATACAACGTACTTCCTTGGTCCCTTTCTTTACTATAAATTAACTTAGCCCAAAGATGCCATCTCATCATACCAACTGACCTGGCTCCTTCAATAATGATACAGTGGTCCCTCTATAATCCGGCACCATTTGTGCCAAGAAAATCTGCTGGATTAGGGAGGGTGCTGGATTAACAAATCTGATTTACTGCTGCAATGTGCATGAAGAGGACATTTTGGCTACTGACAATTGTGCTGGTTTATCGAGGGTGCTGGATTATAAAGTGCCGGATTAGAGAGGGACGACTGTACGACGATCAAGTGAGTTCACTGCTTCAAAATCAACTTCAAGGTGAACATAAAAAAAACCATCTCCATCACTTTGCGAGAACTGTGGCAATACGCCCAGTGAGAAGGCATTTTGCCTGTGCCTATGGTGAAAGAAAATGAAGCTAAACAAACAAACAAACAAATACTAGTAGCATGAGCTCCAGTGTGGGGAGCAAACCCTTTTCAAACAAACATCACCATTGTAATAATTACTACTGCAGTTCATTCGGCAGTACTACTTGCAGTTTGACCAGAGATGCCGTACCGGAGCTCAGCTGTGTGGCCAGCTCGGCATTTTCACACACGTATTCTCGGAGACACGGCCAATGGTCTTCATTTCCCACTGTGACAGCATCCGACTCATTCTTCGTAAACCCTTGACCAGTGAAGAGCTCCAAGAGGCGTAATTCACAGTAGAGAAAAAGACGCGTTTGCCAGGCCGAGCGAGGAGCTGCAAGTGCCATGAATCTGCTATAGTCCATTAACTGGCTGGGCGATCGTTTTATTGAGAGAAAATTCACGCCATGCGCCTTCTCGTAATCGGCAACTGAGCGCGCACGGAACTCGCTCAGATGCCGCATCACGTCAGGCACGGCACCGGGGTAGAACTGGCGGCAGAGCTCCACGATACCGCTCCACGTTGCTGGCACGCACTTCGGCAAGTGAGCGTCTGCGGGTTTGTCATGGGGCACGTCTTGTTGATGAGCCTGGGCAAGAGCAGCATCATGACTGTTATCACATTTGACCGTGATGATCTTGGCCTGGAAGAGCAGCAGCCATGCATCATTCTTGTCCACCTCGCACTGCGCAGGGACAAGCAAAAGATCCGGAAGCAAACCACACGCATCAAGTTTTCAGGCATGGCAGACCTTCGTGTAAGAAAAATCCAGGAGAGTGAACAATCACTCTCGCTATCCTCTCAAGGAGAGTGGTGGGAGAGCAGTCCTGACCACCCTCCCCCCCCCCCCCCAAAAAAAAAGTCGCTCGCATTTTCTATCCAAGGCGAGCACAATACGGGTTTTTTCAACATCTTGCCATACCCCAATCGGATTCAATACCCAATAGCTGCCAAATTCGTTCTGGAAAACCGCCGTACGCACTACAAATGAAAGCTGTTCGGACCACAACTTTAGTTTCCCTTCATCAGGGACAATGACACACGCAATGGGAAATTGAGACAATTCGCTATAATAATATTACTAAGATCCATGGTATTTTTTGTAGTATTCATCGTAGAGCGCTCCTTTCTTCTGTAGCCGACGGCTAAAGACCTGTGCCTGGCGTCACACGTACACAGGTCTATGCATGCCCGGACTGTCACGCAACAGAGGGAAATCCTTTATGCCAAAATTATATGTGCGGAAGTGAAAATTTGCAACGGTACGTAAAATACCTTGCGAGTGCCGTAACTCCACTATAGGACCTCGGATCGACTTCCGATTTGTTGGAGCCGACGGCTGAGAACTTTCTAATGCGAATAGACTTTTCGATTACTCTATTCCGTTCAGGGAAAGACGAGTTACGAAATATTTGAGTGTTTTCAGAACTTCATAGTGATGCGGATGTGCTCGAAATTCTCAAGGCGCGCGACGAAAAGTGCGCCCTAAAAGAAAATAAGGAGAGCGAAGGCGCGCGAGAGCGATCGCTCTCCTTTTACCAGATGGTCTGCATGGCAAATCATCATCATTCTGTATGCAGAACAATCGGGTGATGTAGACTTAGCACCGTCACACAGCGATGAGTAAATATGCATAATGTAAAGACGCTCGGTTGAGCCTGTGTTACGAACCGTGTTCAGGAGTTAACATCGCTCCCAGACTTTTGCCCCAAATCACAGACATCCACCCTGTTCATGACCACACAAATCACAGACATACACCGTGTTCATCACCACACACATCACAGACATCCACCGTGTTCATCATCACACAAATCACAGACATCCACTCTGTTCATCACCACACAAATCACAGACATCCACCGTGTTCATCACCACACAAATCACAGACATCCACCGTGTTCATCACCACACAAATCACAGACATCCACCCTGTTCATCATCACACAAATCACACACATCCACCGTGTTTATCACCACACAAATCACAGACATCCACTGTGTTCATCACCACACAAATCACACACATCCACTCTGTTCATCACCACACAAATCACAGACATCCACCATGTTTATCACCACACAAATCACAGACATCCACTGTGTTCATTACCACACAAATCACACACATCCACTCTGTTCATCACCACACAAATCACAGACATCCACCGTGTTCATCATCACACAAATCACAGACATTAACTCTGTTCATCACCACACAAATCACAGACATCCACTCTGTTCATCACCACACAAATCACAGACATCCACCGTGTTCATCACCACACAAATCACAGACATACACTCTGTACATCACAAGTAATGCTGACGGCTGGGTACACGCCACTGGCCACAGAAAGGTGGATTCTTGTCATATGTCACTGGAACTGTAGAGATTATGGCGAATATCTATCACTTGTCCTAGTTGACGTTTATACGCTTTTACTTGCAGATCAGTATAGCTAAACATACTCTATGCTTACACCACACAGTACAGTGGTGTACAACTGCACATACTACACACATTACAGGAGCATGGTAGATCACATACTACACACATTACAGGGGCATGGTAGATCACATACTACACACGTTACAGGAGCATGGTAGATCACATACTACACACATTACAGGAGCATGGTAGATCACATACTACACACAGTACAGGAGCATGGTAGATCACATACTACACACATTACAGGAGCATGGTAGATCACATACTACACACATTACAGGAGCATGGTAGATCACATACTACACACATTACAGGAGCATGGTAGATCACATACTACACATATTACAGGAGCATGGTAGATCACATACTACACACATTACAGGAGCATGGTAGATCACATACTACACACATTACAGGAGCATGGTAGATCACATACTACACACAGTACAGGAGCATGGTAGATCACATCCCGTACACATTACACGAGCCTGGACCTCGCTTATCCGGTCCTCTTTTATCCGGATCCCTCGCCATCCGGAAGAAAATCGTTGGTTATCGATTTACAGCATATGTCATGCATACATACAGTATGTGTGGTCGATTATCCGGTTCCCTCGCCTACCCGCATACCGTATTTCCCCGTAAGTAAGTTCTCCCCAATGACTTAGTACCCCCTATAAAAAATACACTTTCCACTGCCGAGGTTATCAACCCGAAAGACAGTTCCCCCGAAAGATAGTAAGTTCGTACCCGTCCTACATATACAGACGCCGTACAGTACATACATCATATGCACGGACACTAGAGTTGCGCAGGCTTCCCACTACGTGTCATTTACCCCCGATAAAAAAGTACTCCCCGAAAGATAGTACCACCCCCGAAAGTTAGTACTCATGTGGCTGCTAAGTTCGAAATTAGTACGTACTAACTTACGGGGAATACGGTAATTTCGTGGAAAATGGGTGTGTGGGGTTAAGCGAGGTCTGACTGTAGCTCACATCCCACAAGTCGAAAACACTTCCAGGCTCATTTGATGCTGTTAGCCATTCTAATTTAAAGCAGGTACTGATTTCCCGTAGCTGTTACCTTGAGGGTGATGAACTCGCGTGTTAGACCGAGGGCGAGCAGGACATCATACGGTGACTTGCACGGCAGAACGCGGCAGGCAGTATCTCGGCCGGCAACGAAAGCCGTGCGCCGTCCTGATGCCTCACTCAGCCTTGTCGGCACAGTACCCCTTTATACCATGGACACCCTGCACATGACGTTTGCCGCAACTTCATCATCGGCGAGTCGACGTGCTGCTGTCTTTCCAGAGTAGAAGTTGGTTAGATGGTCGGCGAGGGCTTTAGCGTCCATAGTGACTAGCTGTGCCGAGCTATCTCAGTGACCTTGTATGGTTCTTCCATATGACTGTCCAGTACACTGAACAGCTTGCTCTGCAGAGACAGAGAGACGGAGAGAGAGAGAGAGAGAGAGAGAGAGAGAGAGAGAGAGAGAGAGAGAGAGAGAGAGAGAGAGAGGAGAGAGAGAGATATTAGACTCCATAGCAACAAACACAGAGATACGTAACGGAGAGCACACACACGCACACACGAATACATACAATGTAGAATATAGCAACTGGGTGTCACTAACTGCTTGTGTGGCGTGTTTGAACAGCAAACTCCAAAATCAATGTCATTTCCACAGGAAGACTACTGGTGTCTCCATGACTGCTCCAGTGCGTGCTATATGCCACAAGTTCATCGAATCATCGAATCATCGAAGAACATTCTCGAATACCTGGGTGATGCACGAATTTTGATAGTGCTCACTTCCGTTAATCGTTTTTTTTCTTTGTAATTTTCCATTCATTTTCTGCTTTAATTCATATTTGCTTTGTTTTCCTAGCTTACTTTTGCCGTGGCTGGCTCAACGCCCTTGTCTCAGGGGATTCTGTCCCTGCATTAGCTATGCTTGTCACATGCTATGAGATTGTGTCTAATAATAATAATAATAAGTTCAAATATCATGCTACATACTATTCACGTCTTCATTGTTTTGTTAAAATCTTTTTCTACGAGTACTGTAATTTCAGCATTTTCCTCAGTAATTCTTTTCATACTTCAAGTTTCAATACCTTCACAAACACTGACAAGCATCATACAAATGGGACCTGCCTCTCTGTACGTACCTAGAACTTTCTATTTTAGATCACAGCATTATTTTAAATTTTGTGCAATTGTCTGCTCCTCCACTACATGTCTACATGTACCAGTTTTTTTCATGCTCTTACCGTCACAGTGCACGCTACGCTGGGGTAGTTTGTACGCCGAGTAAGATCAAAACACCGCTAGCTAACGAACGTCAACCGATTAGCAAAAAACGACTCTCCTCTATGTAACTACCCGGGTCGACTCCATACAAGTAATCTGCAAATACCAGAAATACCTAATGGCCAACACCAGGCTATGCACTGCTCCAGTGAATGTTACTGAATGAACTAGTACTAGTAGTAGTACTACAAAGTCATGTAGTACTAGTAGTCTTGCCTCTTGCTGTCTAGGTACTCGTACATCTACGATCCAGTACAATGACTAGTGACTATGTAGCCTGCCAATTATTTTCAAACGCAAATAAAGTTTCAATTATTTTTGAAGTCAACATTATGTTCCCACCGAACAATACATGTCATGAGACTTGAGAGATCTAGATCCTGATTCCTGGGATCGGGAGTCTACCATGGTCTACCCATGCGTGACCATGGTGACGAAGAAAACGACGAGCAAAGCACAAAATGTTCCGTACTACAATAGTCTACATGTACTAGTACTAGTAGACCCAGGTGCTCGAAGTCCGTACATGGTATCCTAAGTTCGTACGCCCATAATGTCATGTTCTGTTATTGTATTCGACTCAAATATTTTATGGAGGGGACAGTGTGGTATGTTCTCCTCGCGTAGCAATTTTCAGGGATCTACGATAAGCAGAAGTCCTATACCACGCGAGTGGGTTTTCGAGTGTCCATACGAAATACAATTTGGGTTACATTTCATGCAAAAATCAACTTTGCCAAGACCGATTTCGAACGGACACAGCGTCAAACAGACCTTCACTCAATCATCAAGAGCCAGCTTAGAGCTGACAATGGCCAGAGGAGAAGAATTTACAGAAAACCACCAATCCTTGCAGAAAGGTTGACACTCCTGGCATCTCCACCACTGTTTTCCCGCGGTTTTCACAGCGCAGCTGCTTCTTCTCTGAGCCGACTAAAAACAGCTTGCATTTCGGCAACAAACTACGCTTTTGCAAGAAATACTGGTGGAGGCACATGCCAAACATATGCCTTCGGTGCTTTCGTCGTAACCGAGGGATTGCAAGTTAGCAATTAGCGGAAATATGTGTGTATTTCGAGTCACCTCTGATCAGTACGGACTTAGAGTACCCTCTGCGACACCAAAATTTGATATGAAAAATCAGCGAACTCCAGAGAAACAGATCGGATCGAAAGATGGCCTGGTTCAATCGAGCCTGGCCTCAGAACAAACTTGGACAAGATACCTTCCATCCACGAGCAGGATTCTGGCAAGTGATCATTGCTAGTGTGAGTTTCAGCTCGGCAAACACACACTGTAAAAGTGTACGGACTTCGAGCACCTGGGTCTACCACCGGTAGTACCGGTAGTATACAGTAACATAACGACGTCAGTGCGAGTAGTGAGTCGAGTAGCGGCCTAGAGAGTAGAGGCAAGAGTACAACAGGCTGCTGCCGTGCTGGGAGAGTTGAACAGGCTAACGAGCGCAGTACGGATCCGACCTGGACTACAGACTACATACAGACTCACGTGAGTGCGTTCGATTTTGCCCACAAATCAATTATTAATTTGTTGAACCCATGAACGTGAATCCATTCATGAATCCATTCATGAATAGTATAATTCATGATTGGGTTATTTATTACTAGTACCAAGAGTACATAACCAAGAGTGTGCAACTCTACGATTCCCCAGCCCACGGCGGAATTTTTTTATGACATCAGTCTTTCATGGTCTTTGGCGGCGGTTTAGCTCACTGATGCCATCATGCGTAGCCAGAGATCAAAGTGGAAATAATGTGTACATTACAGCTACGGTAGTCGAAGCAGAACAACGGACGAAAGATCGACGTGTCTTGAACCTGACGAACTCTCACCGTATTTACAAAACAAGCGCCGGAAAGAATACCCACTTCATCATAACTTCTGCCAAAGGATGAGGCAATAAAAAAATTCCGCCGTGGGTGAACCCATCGCAGCTCAAGATAGGAGTTTCACACTCTTAATTCTGTACTCTTGCTAGTACGGCCCTGGCTATTCTCATCACCCCCTGTGTGAATAGACGTTATTTGATTACATCATCAGTTGATGCTTCAACGAAAAGGCTGCGGACTCGCGGCACAGCGCTGCACTTGCTAGGGGTAAGCGGATTTTGCGGGCATAATTTTTGGCATAATCAGGTCCTTTTTGAGAAGGAGCATACAATTGCATGGGAAAAAGAAGGGCCGATGCCCAATGCGACTGTTATACACATATAATAATAAATAATAATTGAAGGCATAATTGCCTTTTTTAGAAGAAGCATAAAACGGCATCGGAAAAACAAGGGCAGATGCCCATTGAGTCTGTCATATACATGTACACACCTGCTATTGAAGGACCATACATTGCGCTTTTTGTCGATTTGGAATACTTTAGCAACCACCGATGCCGACTACCTGACATGGCCGTGATTCTATTCCCCAGTCCACTCCATCACCAGGCAGTACATTTACATCTTCTGCAACACCACCGATGATGTCATCCAGCGCTTCCTCAGCTGAAACACCAGCTAGAGTGCCCAGGCAAGGTTCAGCCTCAGATCAGACTACTTTGCCCAGAAACACGTTGTCACCATCATCATCATCATCATCAGCAGCAGCAGCAGCAGAAATAGCTGAATCTCCAACAAAGCAGGTAAGACTAGGTGTGTGTGTGTGTGTGTGTTTGTGTGTGGTGCTGGTGTGTGTGTGTGTGTGTGTGTTTGTGTATGTGTGTGTGTGTGTGTGTGTGTGTGTGTGTATGTGTAACTAGGGTAACCCGGTAACTACCGGCATACCGGGGATTTCTGACTTTGATCGAAAAACTACTGGAATTGGCACTGAACCATGATTGTTCACAAAAACGCTGGTTTGTGGTGTGACAAGGGCACATGCGGCCCTGCTTTTCACAGAATCCCTTACGTAGGGGCGATCTGACAATGAAGAAATCCAAGCTTTGGTCCAATGAGCAATGGGTTAGAAATGAATAAAAAGAAAGAACAAAATTGCCAAAATATTGCGCACAATTCGCAAAATACTCAAAAATTGCCCGAAAAAGAGAAAATAGACGAAATTGGCGAAAACTAGCTTAATAAGAGAAATGAGAGAAAATTAAGGGAAACTGGTTGTGTGACTAAGGGATTTGATTTGGCTGGGTTGCCAAGTATGAATACAGGATTCCGTGTGGTACAGGGTCCGGCAACCAACGGTTTCCATGACCACCCAGCCAGGTTTGGGCCAATGGCATCACTACTTTCAACCTCTATGGTCCTAGTGTCGATTGCTGTTGTTCTCACTGCTCTCCTGTATTGCAGCGTGATTACACACAGATCCACAAAGCAAGGTACTCATTTGGTAGTGAGGGCGGCGGGAGAGATCAGTTTGACGGCCCTTGGGGACTAGCAACCAACAAAGCTGGTGACCTGATCATCTGTGACACCTGCAACCACAGAATAAAGGTATTTGGCGGAGTATAATGTGCATCTCCTTTTTTTAGCGATGTTTTGGCAATTTAAGATTCATCCAGAGTGTAATGCTCAGCCTATATTTGAGATCGTTATCGATCACAAAGACAGTATTTAGAGTGCCACCATTGTTAGAATTTCCTATAAAGATATGGTTAAGGCATACATTTGTGTAATGTACCGATGCTGGTCTCGCACCCATCATGCATAACAGTGCAGCTGGCAGTTGACACCGGCAATGCACACATATGGCTTGCACCAGGTCAGAGGTGGCAAACTTCACAACGGTTTGATACATCGCACTACTTTTCCAAGTACATGTATATGCACGTCTGCACACTGGCTTCACTCTTGCATCAACAAGGCTACATTGCTTCTACACCAACTCAAAATCATCTCTCTCTCTCTCTCTCTCTCTCTCTCTCTCTCTCTCTCTCTCTCTCTCAGCAAATATCAAAAATCCCCGATAAAGTAATGGCTCATGCAGTTAGCCCTTTCATGAAGGTGCTCGCCCTTTTTTTCGCCCTTTTTGGCCCTTTTTGCAAAAGCCCGTTTCTTTCGCCCTTTATTGCGTTTTTGGTGAACACCGCCCTGTTTTAGCTTTTTCAGGTGAAAAAGTGCTAAAATCTGTTTGCTCATGCATGCGATCACAGTTTCCGAGTGCTCGATGGGTGCCGCTTTTTTCGGGGGCAGCAAGTTGGTGAAGCTTGTACTTTGTACACAATGCTGTAAAAAGTGGGTTTTTTGAACTTTACTTCCTGTTTTGCCTTTCTTGGACCCATAAATGGAAGAGTGCGTATTCATTTCTCAGCTTGGGTTCATATCTGAAAATGTTACATTGCTATGCTTCACTGAAAAAAGAGCACATTTTGCCTGTTTTCACTGAAAAAAGAGCACTTTTTCAGCATATTTTGAGGGACGCGAAAAGCACTAAGTGCGAATTAAAAGAGCACTTTTGGGAAAGGGCTACATGCAGTGGTAGAATAGACCCTTTGCACAATAAGCGAGAGGGGTCGAGACGGGGCATGCACATGTATACACATGCTGGACATGACATCATGCACATGTATACTCATGCTGGACATGACATCATGCACATGTATACACATGCTGGACATGACATCATGCACATGTATACTCATGCTGGACATGACATCATGTACATGTATACGCATGCTGGACATGACATCATGCACATGTATACTCATGCTGGGCATGACATCATGTACATGAATACTCATGCTGGGCATGACATCATGCACATGTATACTCATGCTGGACATGACATCATGCACATGTATACACATGCTGGACATGACATCATGCACATGTATACTCATGCTGGACATGACATCATGTACATGTATACGCATGCTGGACATGACATCATGCACATGTATACTCATGCTGGACATGACATCATGCACATGTATACACATGCTGGACATGACATCATGCACATGTATACACATGCTGGGAATGACATCATGCACATGTATACTCATGCTGGACATGACATCATGCACATGTATACACATGCTGGACATGACATCATGCACATGTATACTCATGCTGGACATGACATCATGCACATGTATACACATGCTGGGCATGACATAATGCACATGTATACTCATGCTGGACATGACATCATGCACATGTATACACATGCTGGACATGACATCATGCACATGTATACTCATGCTGGACATGACATCATGCACATGTATACACATGCTGGACATGACATCATGCACATGTATACTCATGCTGGACATGA